CAGACCATATGAGCTAAAGCGTATACGTATTACGCCCAAATCTTTATTACTCTGCACAGTTGGATGGATTTCGTCAGTTTTCACCCAAAAATATATTGCTGGGTGTCCCCTCATATATATTCTATATCCCTTTGAAGTTGCCATCAACGGGTTATGATGTAACGAAATCCACATCACCTGTGCCCAAAGTACTGAACTGTCTTCAGGGTGGTGTGGGCGCCACGGTGGATCAGTGCGTAAGGCGCTGGTTCACCAACTAGGTGCTTCCGGATCGATCCCGGTGTTCGCCGAGAAGGTCCCAGCATCAGCTATGATACATTGGCTGCTAAGCCAAGAAATGATTTTTATAATTCGCCATTCAAAGCTGAAATTACGGCACTTATGCTTGAAAAGTTTGCTATGTAGACAGCATTCTGTTTGTCAGAATATGTTTTTTACTACACGTTTTGCATGCCATATCTTAGTTAAATCATATTGTTATCGTTAAATTTTTAAATATAGCGCGTGTTTTAATCCATTTGAATCTCCGCTATCCGATTTAGAGAGTTGATTATAGGCTTGTCATGTGACCTGCAACAGGCAGAGAGAGAGAGAGAAATGGGGTTTAACGTCCACTCGACACAAACTAGGTCATTTCGGGACCAACACATGGTTTAATTTTATTTCAATAATTCGCTTGCGCGTAGGGGTCGTTAGCAGTGGGAGGAAAAAGGAGGACCCGGAGAAAACCCACGAGGTTGGACAGGCGACCCTACTCCTTGCCACGTACAACCGGGGATTCGAAACCACGCCAGTTGACTCAATGACTGACTTTATGGTACAGCGTGTACGTGCTGACCATTCAGCCACTACCCCCCCCCCCCTGCAACAGCCATATTTAGCTCTAACATAATTCATCTTTAACATAATAATTATATAGTGACTTAATAAATGCCATGAAAGAAAATGCGAAATATAAATATCACGAACGGCCACTATTCACGCTATCGCATTTTTTTCATGCCCTGATAATGTATATGTTGTACCAAGGCCACCATTCACACAATCGCATTTTTGTCATGCTCGTAATATCTTCTTGTTAGACAGAAATTGTATCATCCACTGGTAATATGTGTATATTAAAACTAATGCGAATTCTTGTCCATGTCACGATAATTGCAATTATTTCCATTATTACCCCAGTATTTATGTGTCAATTTCCGTCTCTGTTGGATATCTACGTAATACCTATATAATATATACATTAAGAACTTCCCACGCTTTATGTCATCGTGTCTGTTAATTGTGTGCGTCTGGTGTAATGGGATCGTGCCTGGAGACATCCTCCACAGAATAAAACAGAATAATATTCTGCCTTTCTTTTAATAGATATTATAAACATACGACTCCATGGTGCAAGTGTTCAAGTGCTTGAAAAGTTAACGCATGTTGAAATTGTCGATTAGGTCATCTTCAAAATGCAGGTTTAAGAACTCACGTATTCGTGTGGAAATTTGAGCGCTTGTTTCTTAAGAATGAGAACATATTATTTTGAAGCCGTCCGAGAAAGTGATTGTTCATGCCTTAAAGGAGTCAAATCTCTATTCTTTGGCACCTAGAAATGGATAATAATGGGTAGCAACGCATATGACAAAGTAATATGAATGTATATAAACCCATTTACATTCAATCGTTTCTGTGTTTACTGTAATTTCTAATCAGTTATCTTCGGCGAAATACGCGAAAAGTTCAAATTGAATGGCAGTCTTTGGCCTCTGGTTATTCCAGTCTACACCGATAGTATTCTCCTGTGGGATATGTTTAGCCTAGTTCATCAAGTCGCTTCATTCCAAATGGCGCTCGAAAGTATTCTCGCACGCAATTCGTATGCCGATTTTGAAATATTCATTTTGTCTTAAAGAAGCCCATCTTTACACGGTAAGATAACAACATCAGTGTTGATTTAAATTGACCAATAAGTCGTGTTTGCAATGTCGAAAAATATGGATGATATTGAGTTAAAGACTTGCCTCCTTTAATGTGTGATGTTCAAGCATTGAGTCAAGTGTAGTGGAGTAGATCCAAAAGCTGTACGTGACAAGGAGCAGGTACGCCTGGTCTTCCATGATTCCCCCTATTGCTTTAGACCTACGTACACAAGTGAATATTTAGTCTACTTTATGTTGAGTGGGCGTTAACACCCACTCCCAGTTGGGCTGGTGGAAACCCCAACGCCCTCCTTTCTCTCTTTAGAATGAAGTATATGTGCAGATAACTAGGTCTAGGCGTGTGTGTACTGTGGTGTCGTCTTGCAAAAATGTTGCTGATTAATGCTCTCTCTCTCTCTCTCTCTCTCTCTCTCTCTCTCTCCATGTGTGTTTTCATTCTATACCATATCCCCAACACCTAAAGAACAATGGTGTACAATAGCATTTATTAATGACTAGTAGATGAAATATGATTTTAGCAATATACACAAATATTAACAGATAGGGTAGGTTAGACCTATCCCCTTTTGAATTAGGAATTACGGTGGTGGTATTTTCAAACATAAAAAAAATATGCTTACCGCCCCACCCCCACCACCCCTACCCCCATTACAGAGTTTAACACCCACATCTTGTAAAAGAGTGTAGTTAAAAATTAAATATAGATAAGGGAGTTATGTGATGAAATGAAATGGGTTTAACGTCCTACTTTTCGGCACTAACAATGCAATGACAGAAATTTTGCCCGGACCGCTGCGTTTTGGCTTTTTCTTCGGAGAACTGCAACGGCATATCATTCGACCTCAGTTTTTTTTTGCCTAATCCAAATACCTATAGCTAGACCCTCCCGCCTAAACTACTAACAAGCGGAAATCACACAGGAAAATTTAGAGAAACTTTCTCGGTCAAGACTGGGATCGAACCTTGGATCCCTCGTTAGTGAACCATCGCCTTACTTACTGAGCCACGTGGGTCCCTTTAAACCTATCGATTATTGTTCGTTTGTTTTTTTTCGCTAACATCTCAATCGGTCTCCAAAAACTGCAATACAAAGCACCCTATTGGCAGTTGCCACAGTCGACCGCATTTACTTTAAAATGTCATATATTTCATTTTAATTGATTGGAATGTGTTTATTTGTATGTTTTATAGTAGGATATACCCCATTTAAAACCACAAATAGTCGCCATACTCTTGTAGAAGGAAGTTGTTCTCGATTTAAGAGATTTCTAACACCTACAAACATATTGTTACAAGTATTTATATCCTGGCATCAAGTAGGCGACTCTGTAACATGCGACCCCAAAATATAAATCAATACACACCAATCACGAAAAGTAGGAGGAGGAAACGTAGCATGTGACTAACAAATCGTTAATCGGTTGGTTGAGTAGTCTAACGCGTGCGTTTTAGATCATAAGACACATCATTGAGGAGGGGACAGGGGGTGGATCACCGAATGGTTAGTGCGTTGTATTATAAGGTCTGTTATTGAGTCAACTGGCGTGGTTTTGATTCACCGGTTGTACGTGACGAGGAGTAGCGTCACCTGTCCAACCTCGTGGGGTTTCCTCCCACTGCTAAAGACCCCTACGCGTAAGCGGATTATTGAAATGAAATTGAACCATGTTAGTCCCGAAATTACCTAGTTTGTGTCGAGTGGACCTTACCCCCCCCCCCCCAGCTCTGTCTCTCTTTTCCATCATTGAGTAAAGTGGGGGTTTCGATCCCAAGCTTGTACGTGACAAAGAGTATGGTCGCCTGTTCAATCTCGTGGGTTTAATCTGAGTGCCCCATTGCTATCGAAATAAAATTAAACCAAATGCTAGTCCACAATTACATAGTTTGTGTTGAGGGAACATTAGGTTACAATTCTTCCTCTATCTTAATATTATCATGGTTTCGTGATAGGGGAGAGAACTTTGCATAGACAGTGGCGTTTCCACCTACTCTTCATCGATTTCGAATTTTGAACGTTTTTTTTTTTTACGTCCATGCCCCTGATGGACCTCGGGTTTTTCGTCTATTCGAGCGACTATACCACTGGCTCTACCCTTGACAAGGACTTGGAAAATCCAGAGATTAAACTCGGTCCGCGCGAGAATCGAATTCAAAATTTTCTAGTCCGAAAAGGACAGGAGTTTTATTCCACGTCAACATACTGCGTTAGTCGGTTTTTTTATTTCCCTTATACGCCCTCGTTTCCGCCCACATGTGTACACGGGGGGGACTAAGCAACCCTTTCCTGAAAAGTTGGAACTAGACCTGTTAAAATTCGTTGGATTATAAAAGTGAATTTCTGAAATCTTATTTTAGAATAATGGACACTTATTGCGGAAGTGCCATGCGATATTGAGATGTTGTTATTAAATTGTTTTGTACTTGGTAATAAAACAATCAAGAACAATCGATCCTAATCTTATGTAATAAAAAACGAAACACACGACTGGGGAATTTTAATAACAATTGTTTTGTACTGGTCAACTTATTTTTAAATTCGACATCCGACACTCGACATTATCAAAGTGGACATAACTCACACATGTCTGATTACGAGTTGATACAATAATTCCAACTTAAAAATCACCAAAAAATATCAAGCGCGATCGACACTAATCTCACACACGAGTGGGCAATTTTAATAAAAATTGCTTTCTACTGGTCAGCTAATTTTCAAACTCGACACTTGACATTATCAAAGTGAACATAAATTACGTATATCTGATTACAAGTGCGATTTGTTAAAATATTTTTCGTTCGTTCGTTCGTTTTACGCCTGCTTCCACCAGACAAGTTTGTTGACCCAATTACGGAATTGGTTAAATATCATTGACACATACAACTTGTCCAATCGCCTATTTCAGTAGCATTGATTATGGGAAATGGGGTAGTAGTAATGGAGTGGCCATGAAGTAATAGGTTCCAATCCTATAGCTGTGCCAGAAGAACCTTGCCAGGCTACTATCCTCGATCACGTATACGTCGCTAAAAATGTCCCGAAAACTTCAGTTATATTTTATTATATATTTCCAGAGTTCACGAGATGGATGGGGACCATGGACAGTATGGTCAGTCTGTTCTGCCACATGTGGTCAGGGTCTGGTCTACAGTCAGAGAAGATGTCATCGATTAGCCAGGTAAAATAGTTCTCCATACGTACAAATTGCTGAATGAAATATAAGACCATAATATAAAGGGGGAAGAAGCCATAATGGCTTAGTGAGTAAGGCGCTGGTTCACCAACCAGGAGATCCCGGTTGACAGTTCCTTTTTTGGCCGTATTTTGAACTATAAAAACGAAACGAAATACGTTTTATATCAGATTGCATACGTAAGATAATCGCTGCTCGTGTTTTTCTTCTTCATTTTTCTTGTGGAAAGTTCACATGTGACCGCAACCAAATGTTTATGACCGCAACTTTACGGAGTCGACCTTGTTTTTAGAGTGACAAATGAAATTGTCGATAGATATAGGCACCACGGTTATCTTCTAGCTGACGAAATTAATTTTTCATATTATGCGGTCTTCAATATAGTTTTAATCAATGTTATTGTCTCCAGTATAATCAAAAGAAAATTATGGCGCCAACTATTCCACAATATCTATTACACTAGAATGATCACTTCAGATTACGAGGAAGTTCTACTTGAAAAAAATAAGTTGTTATTACCTACAAACAGTAATAATAACCAAGTTCTACATTAACTTACATGTATAAGTTTACACACATAAACATTCTCCTAATCACAACAAATTAAATATGCATTATGCAAGAACTTAATCTGCCTAAATTATTCATTTTTACAATTATTAACTTATCCAGACCATAAACAACTCTCGATGCCATCGTTAGCCTGCGATATTTATTGGATTTGAATACATTTTGTGATAGATAATTTGATAATTGATAATTCATCTAACCCTGACTTTCTGATTGTTAATCCTAAACATACAACCACCAATTCTTCTTCCCTTCTAAGTCCCTCGCGTGCAGGTATTTACAATACTTTCCATGGTATGATCTCTGACGATACCCTTATGATGTCTCCGACAAATAAGTCCTCAATTGAATGAACTTTTAACCACATTAACCGTTAGAATATCTGCTGACATTTAAATCTGCCATTACGCTTACGTCATATGCCCTGATGATGTCAAAAATAAACAAATCCTCGGTTGCATGTCCCTTTAACCACAATTCTTCAAATAAACACATTGTCGCTTGCATGTCCCTTTAAATATAATTCATCTAATAATCGTTATAATATCGGCTGACATTAAATTTGGCCATTACTCTAAAGTATTTGGGGGGGGGGGCTGTGAATGAATTCTGTCAAGATGACATTCTTTCTGTAGTAATTACTGAAAGTCATGCCTCCGTATAAATAACATGCTATTTCACCAAACTAAGCAAAGTTGTAAGAATTTATTTTATGGGTTATAAATAACGTGTCGTTTTGTATTTAGTTTAATGCACTGCTTGTAGTGTTATGTTAGTTAACATACATACTTTAATATCGTATTTCCACAAATATTTCTTAATTATTACCCTAGAATGTCTGTTATTTCTAAAGTATCAAGAGAAACAACCACAAAAACACCCAATACCACAGAACCCTTCAAAAATCCAAAGGATCTTATACGTGCGCGGCAGTGTGTACACATGACTTCAATTTTTTTTATCCATTTGAAGAACTAGACGCACCGACTGAGAACCGGGTTTGAAACGTCTCGGAAAATTCTTTGGGGTCGATGATAACTTTAATTTGATGATTTGACTCATTGCTTTTGAATTGAAATCAGATTTAACGTCATATTTTTCTGTACCAACCGGGATAATGGATACGGGCATATAACCGTCAATGTGCCATGGATGAAATTTCGCCCGAAAAGCGGCGTTTCCGCCTTCACTACATCGAATTTCAACTAGCAATGGTTCATGTATTAGCACACTAACGCAGATACACAGGTGGACCTCGTTTTTCCCCTCTCATCTCGACGACTTTCCAGTCCAGCCAGGTTCTCCGCCCTGTACAACAGACAATGGGGAAACCATGCAAGAAAAACTCGAGGGATCGTTTCGGCCAACACCGTTTAGTAAACCAGCGCAATACTCACAATTTCAAAAAAGGAGAGGCACGAACCGAGGGAGGTATTCTAATGATAAGAAACTGTAAATTTTATCATTTTGATATCATCTTACACTTATAATAAAATCAGAAAAGGAATTTTTAAAGGAGCCTGTTGCATGTTTTATCTGTCGTCGAATCAGTTGGATGTAGTTGAATTTAGAATCTTTATCAACTTTGAACTCCACGGGATATTACTGACATTCACCATCAAAATATTGTATTGTATAAGAAAACACATGTAAGCTATATATTATGGCGCTGAAATATAGCTGGAGCGTTCGATAAACCGAAAGGCTTTAAAACAAGAATGATGCAAAACATATGGATTCGTTTAAGTATTTAGAAGATGGATTCGGAGATTGTGGATGACCACGTCTCTCCAGCAACGCAACCAACATTTGCTCCCAATATAGATATATAAACGATTTGCGAACATTTTAGGAACAAACCACACTTCCTTGCTAAGAATACAACTGTCGTACAAGGTTTAGTGGATGTTAAGTAGATTGTGCATCAAGTTAACAGAAATATCCCTATTGTGATAGGGAGCCACGGTGGTTAGGTGGTTAAGACGCTGGCTCACTAGCCTGGAGGTCGGGTGTTCGATCCCTGCATTGGCCGAGAAAGTTCATCCTGATTTTCCGACGTGGTTCCCCTTGTCAGTGGTGCAGAACGGAGGGCCTGACAAGGACAGCTGTCTAGTCCTTCGGACGATACGAAAAACCGAGGTCCCGTGCATACATTAGAATGCACGTAAATGCACGTAAAAGATCCCTTGGCAAAATTTCCCTCATAGCACACTGTATGGCGTATGCCCGTCTTCAGTAGCCCAGTATAGGTTGCAGAACAGTAGGACGTTAAACCCCATTTCATTTCATTTCATTTCATTTCCTATTGTGATACTTGCATATTTTGGTGAATCATAGAGCTCTCTCTCCCTTGGTTTGAAGTCTCCCAGATAGGTTGATGACCGAATTGTCTAATGCGTGCACTTTAGATCATACGGTTTGTCATTGATTCAAGTTGCGTGGTTTCGATGCCACACGTGTACGTGACAAAGAGTGGGATCACCTGTCGAATCTCGTGGGTATTTCACCGGGTCCTCCGTTTTCCTCCTACTGCTAAATAAAGACCTCAGCGCGAATTATTGAAATGCAATTGCAGCGTATAATATGTAAGTCCCGAAATGACCTAGTTTGTGTTAAGTAGACGTTAAACCCAATCTGTCTGGCTGTCTTTTGCTCAGATCAGAAAGATGGTGTTGAGAGCGTATGGTATAAACATTTATTATAACGATAACGATATCAATATAATATACGTCTTATCATTATTATTGATGCACTTTTCAAATTCTCTTGGCATTCTTACAAGATTTTAATTCAGTTCTATAAACATATATCTAATGTATTTATTTGCTAATTTTGCATTTCATTTCAGCCAAAATTCCTGTCGCGGTCACAGTAAACGATTCAAATTGTGTAATTTAAAGGTGAGATACAAGTGGGTGGGGGCAGCACCAAAGTAAGACTTTCCCAACCAACAACATATATTTGGGCATTAATCAGAATCTGTGGCCATTTGTCATGGAAAAATTCTGAAATAATTTTTGGTACAGCACTACTAAGCAAACTGTGATTGATAAAATAATTAAGGCTAATTTTATGGTATGATAACATTTTTGATTAAAAATTTATTTTGATATTCAGGAATGTGAAAATATACCAGAAGATCCAACGATAGCTTTATGTAGAAAACAAAATCACATCCGTTACGGTGGTAAACGATTTTACTGGGAACCTTTTATTAACCGTAAGTTAAACATTAAAGAAACAATATTTACCACTGAAGAAACTTGGGTCTCCCATATCAAATAACACGCCACCTTTTCGGAGACAAATGAGGATGCTAATGCAATAAGGTAGAAGAGTGCCACTTCACAATATCTGCTAAAAATAAGATTTTTATATATTTTTAAACCAGAAAACCAAACCTGTGATGCGAGGAATCAGAATGATAAAAATAAACAAGTTGTTAAGAAAATCAAAAATGGATTTATTTGAAAAAATCAAATGATCTTATTTAAAAACAACATTTGTTTACCTCATTGCACTAGCATCCTCAACTATTTCCTTGAGAAGAAATTTAAATATTTTAAACTCAACTATTGAATAATTTTACTAATTGGATCTTCCATTTAAATCAAATGGCGAAGTTTGGATTGGCTAGATGTTAAATTTCATTGCAGCTGAGATTTGTGTAGACGTTAAACTTCATTTCTCTTCTGCTTTATTTGTCTTGTTAAACCCCATTTCACTCTCTCTCTCTCTCTCTCTCTCTCTATATATATATATATATATAATTGCAGCTGTGACAGCTTGTGAACTGTCTTGCAAGGCAAGAGGTCATCATTATGTATATAATCTAAAGAAATTAGCAAATGACGGTTTTAACTGTGGGGTTAAAGACAGGGCCGTGTGTTTGGCCGGAAGATGTATGGTGAGGTTTTTTTTTTATCTCGTATCGGATACTTTGATCTTTTAGGGACTGAGAATGCCCCAGGTTTGAATCTTGGCGTGAATCGTTGAGTACATCGTGATTTTTTTCATGTTATGTCCTGCTCTTTAGAAGTAATGCCAGCGGGACTAGTAAGTACTTCTTGCCTAGTTCTTCGAATCAGACGTAAACACAGGGTCCTCCGTTTGTACACGTAAGAGAATTCTTAGCAGTTGAAATTCGATGCAGAGTATGTAGAAACACAGCTTTCCGGGAAAAGTTCACCTTCTAGCATTGCACCATCATAGAAACATAAATTAATGGCTGTTCAGTCTCAAAATGATGGAAACATTGTATTGACATCCTCTCCTTTCTTTCTATTAGAACGAGTCTATTTTCTTTGTTTTCAGAAAGTAGGTTGTGACGATATATTAGGATCTAATACAACATTAGATAGGTGTGGATTGTGTGGCGGTAATGGTAACACGTGTAAACTCGTAACTGGTATCTTTACCAAACCGTACCTAGCCAAATATGGTTACAATACGGTCATCTCGATACCAACCAATGCTCGTAGTATCAGTGTTTCTGAGATAGCAAGAAGCAGGAATTTTCTAGGTGAGTTGTCGTACAGTTAGTAATGTATTTACTCGTGGTTTTTGACGATTACTTCTTTGAGTTTCAACGGTCTCATTTGATCGCGTACCAACATTGAGATTTCTTGTAAACACTAATAGTCCAGGAGCTAATGACAAAATAATATGGTCATCAGTTACAAAAGGTTTGACCCCCCAAATTCGTAGCAGGTGTCCGTACGAGTAAAAATCAGTTGGTCAGATCGGGCACTGCTGGGGCGTATAGCCGCAGCAGCACCTTAAAGTAGGCCCCAGGGGGCCTAAAATTAAGTCATAAGTTACATGGCTGAAACTTTGTAGGGACAATGGTATCCATAGTCGGAGTAAATATTTCACAAATCTAACCAAAATTTCCGGGGCTTTCCCCAAGTCAGACCACACCCAATATCGCCTCGTGGGGCTAATAATATGGTCATCAGTTACATGGCTGAAACTTACCAGAAACAAAGATCCACTCTTGGTAAATACAATTTTCAAAAATCTAACCAAAAATTTGGGGGCTTTCCCCAAGTCAGACCGCTCTAAAGTATGTCTGACCACACCCTAAAAATGGGGCTTTTTATATGGTCATAAGTTACATGGTTGAAATTTACCAGAAACAAAGATCCACACTTGGTAAATACAATTTTCAAAAATCTAACCAAAAATTTAGGGGCTTTCCCGAAGTCAGATCGCTCTAAAGTATGTCCGGCCACACCCTAAAAATGGGTCTTTTTATATGGTCATAAGTTACATGGCTGAAACTTACCAGAAACAAAGATCCACACTTGGTAAATACAATTTTCAAAAATCTAACCAAAAATGTTGGGGCTTTCCTCAAGTCAGATGGTCCTAAAGCCCACCTGGCCACGCCCTAAAAATGGGACTTTTTATATGGTCATCAGTTAAATGGCTGCAACTTACCAGAAATATTGTCCCATGCATGGAAAATGTATTTTTCGAAAATCTAACCATTAATGTGGGGGCTTTCCCCAAGTCAGAACGGCCTTAAAATTGCAGCCCCACCCACTCCCTCTATATAAATCATCTAAAGATATTTACATTTAAAATTAAATAACAGTGTTGTAGTATGGTTTATAACTTGGGTCTGGCAGTTCCCATGTTAATCATTAGAACAGTTTATCTCTGTGCCACCAACAATGAACTTTATTATCTCATAATATAAATATTTTGTACAATATAATATTCTATAGGTGTACATGTATTGTATATTAGTCTTCAGTTACAGTGTCTCAAAGAGTACAATTATTTTGTTTTCTTCCACATAACACGTATGCAATTTTTACACTCGGAACAAATTTCATTCATTTTGCAAGTTGAAGCCTAAGAACTCATTACAACATGGAAATTGAAAAAGACGATGGTAAAATCAATCCAATTGGTAATATAACTGAAATTTCCAAATATTCTGAATTAAGGCATAAAGTCAAGCAGTAATATATATAAGCATGTATATAGATTAGAGTAGTTCCAGTACAAATATGTCCATGATTACGGTAGATAAATACATACAAAAATACAAATACGTCAAGTTGGAAAAATCAACCACTCTTACTTCTTTATTCTGGTATACATCATATCGTACGAAGGCTGGTGCTGTCTTCATTATGGCAATGGTGCCGATGTCGGTCGGATTCTTGTTTTTAAGAAAGATACACTACAAAACTGTCAACAAATTTTAGAAATCCGTAAAAAGTCACGTTTGAAGTATGCTGAAATTATGCCCCCCAAAGTTGTATATGAGTTAACAGGATTTCATATGGAATGATGTAAAAGATATACGGAGCTATCTAAAATTCAAAAGAAACAAAATGATGAAGTACAAGAAAATGACAATCCAAATTCCAATCCAAAATTGATGAGATCATGTTTAACATTGACTTCTGCATCCAGTTCCGATTCGTTCGAGAAGGTCTGCCGGTTTTGCAGAAAATCAAACAGAAAACATCAAGGTCAGAAACAGAAAGTAATAACCTGTGTCACAACGACAATCGAAAAAAATATTCAAGAATATGCAACAATTCTTCAGGATGAAAATATGCTTAAGTACATCCAAGATATAGATTTCATTGGTAAAGACATTCTATCATGTAATGTGCAGAATAGAATATCAACGAGAAGTAAGCAGGTCATATGATAAAAGTGAATGACATGATGCTAGGAATATACATACCAAAGCATTTGATGCTTTATGTAGTTTTGTGACTGACATTATTCTGGAAAAACAAGAGATCTACCTGTTAAAAATAGCTTACTGCAATACTATCAGTCATGTTTATTAGAATTTGGTGGCGGAAACTATACAGAGTTAGGTATTTTGCCCAGCGATTTGCAAAACAAGTTGGTTATATAAATTCTTTGGTGAGAATATTTCAATTGACAGTGGAAATAAAAGATGTGGTAATATTGTCTTTAGTAAAGGTTTAAATGTTGATGACGCTGTTCGCAAGTCATCTGACAACGCCAGAGAAACTGAACATACAGTTCAGGGTGTCACTTTCTTACTCCGATGAGAAATATTCAGTACAAAGAAAATTAAACTGCCTGAAAATTTAACCATACAACATATCACAAATGGTGAAATAGCAGTACCAGACATGGTCTCCGCTTTCTTTACACATCTACTAGTTGGTCCATAATCTAATTGTGGATAAAACAAAGTCAAGAGAATTAATTCCATTAGTCAGCATGCCATTTATTCTCTAACCAGGGGTAGAACTAAGCCACCAAAACACCTATAACTGGGTCTTGCAGTGAAAAGCCTTACAGACAGTAAAAAGGTTATTGAGATTCTTAATCGTTTGGGACATACATTAAGTTACAATAGCATTGAGGAACTCAAACAGAATTGACATTTACATCCACTGAGCGCAACCAAGAAACACCCATTGGCATGATGGTGTCACCACACCTATCAACTGGGGTTGTTTTTAAAAATTACGATAGATTTGTTGAAATTCTTTCTGGTAAAAACGTTAAACCCCATTTCTCTCTCTCTCTTTCTGGTAAAGACAGTCTTCTTGATACAGTAGGCATTCAACCAATCGCCAATAATTGCATATAAACCAATAAGCCGTAAAAGGAGAAAAGATTTGAAGCATCCATGCACTCACTGGCTTTGATCATACTGCATCGTTTAATAGGAAAGGGGATGCCCGACCTTTAAAATTATTAGAAAAGGCTGTTTATGGCCAGAAAGCCTTGTTTTCTCTCGGTAAAAGCGAATCCATTCTTTCTGGAGTAAATAGTTATTGAAGGATTTGTTTGTAGTATCTATTGGATGCCTAAAAATGGATGTCTTTCTGGTATTAAAGGCATAGAAACAAGCCCCTTGCCGCCATGCTCACAGGTATTAACTTTGAAAATCAAGAGAGTGAATTATATTTGTAGTATCTGGATAAATGCGTCAAAAATAATCTCCCCAATTTCCATCCAGAGAATAGAAGGAGGGTTTTAAATGATGATGGGGTGTATGAATTAAAGTGGTTTGATGGTGATGTTGCTCCCGTGTTAGTTGAGAGTATTCACATAGATGAAGATAGTGACCAAGAAAGCAAGGACTCCGATGACGAATCAAACAATTCTTGTATGATGATAAAAGTGTGACAGGTTAACTATTTGCGTCACCCAGCCACGCTTACTCACTTATTTTAAATCATTAAAATGTTATGTGGAACAAATATTTACCAATGAAGAGGAAGGATAACTAAAGTTATATGTATTAAAACTATGAATAGATTTTATAATTTCAGAAATTCATCACTGACTAACATTTTTTTAAAATCCATTAGGTTGTTATTCATTATCGAAGATCGGGAAAGGCAAAAACTACCGAATTCAAACCAAAGCAACTTATTAATCCAATAAATACTTTCGAAATATTTGTTTGAATTTCCCACTTTGATATAAGATATTGAATAACATTCTGAATCATTGTTGAATGGGTTGCTGTGATGGAATACAGAACGTTTGAAGACATAAATTTAGCATCAGTCCTAACTATCTATTCATGACATTGCTCATTTTAGGATTTCACATAGCTAATAAACATTTGTTCTATTTTTGTGCTATAATTTTGAATCTTGATGCGGATCAACAATGTATTATTGATATTACATTATTATAAGCTTTATATAGAGGGGGTGGGTGGGACTGCAATTTTAAGGCCTGTCTGACTTGGGGAAAGCCCCCACATTTATGGTTAGATTTTCGAAAAATACATTTTTCATGCATAGAACAATATTTCTGGTAAGTTTCAGCCATGTAACTAATGACCATATAAAAAGTCTCACTTTTAGGGCGTGGCCAGGTGGGCTTTAGGACGATCTGACTTGAGGAAAGCCCCAACATTTTTGGTTAGATTTTTGAAAAATATGTTTTCCAAGAATGGATCTTTGTTTCTGGTAAGTTTCAGCCATGTAACTGATGACCATATAAAAAGTCCCATTTTTAGGGTGTGGTCGGACATACTTTAGAGCGATCTGACTTGGGGAAAGCCCCCAAATTTTTGGTTAGATTTTTGAAAATTGTATTTACCAAGTGTGGATCTTTGTTTCTGATAGGTTTCAGCTATGTAACTTATGACCATATAAAAAGCCCCATTTTTAGGGTGTGGTCGGACATACTTTAGAGCGATCTGACTTGGGGAAAGCCCCCAAATTTTTGGTTAGATTTTTGAAAATTGTATTTACCAAGTGTGGATCTTTGTTTCTGGTAAGTTTCAGCCATGTAACTTATGACCATATTATTAGCCCCGTGAGGCGATATTGGGCGTGGTCTGACTTGGGGAAAGCCCCGGAAATTTTGGTTAGATTTGTGAAATATTTACTCCGACTATGGATACCATTGTCCCTACAAAGTTTCAGCCATGTAACTTATGACCTAATTTTAGGCCCCTGGGGCCTACTTTAAGGTGCTGCTGCGGCTATACGCCCCAGCAGTGCCCGATCTGACCAACTGATTTTTACTCGTACGGACACCTGCTACGAATTTGGGTGTTCAAACCTTTTGTAACTGATGACCATATTATTTTGTCATTAGCTCCTGGACTATAAATCAGGCATGAATAAGACAGTGACTGTCAGTGTTGGGAAATGTCCCCCTTTTCGCGTATGTGTTAATATCCTTGTTATCACCGGAGACCAAAGACTGCATATAGCGTAGTGGACGTTTACATCGACCTAGGATTAGGCTAACGACGAAAAGATACGTTGAATCTGTTTATATTCCTGGCTTAGAAAGGGGTTAAACATTTAAAAACAAATTCAGCGGAGCAGGAAACAACATCTAAAAATTCAAACATACACCATCACATCTTTTAGCTATAATTAGTGACGATTATCATACACAAGAGGGGGTATGCTTGTCTGTTATTTTCTGACTAATCATTGTTTATCTCATTTAGCTTTAAAATCCAATGGGCGATATAGAATAAATGGTCATAGACGTCTACATAGAACGGGTGATTACCAGGTTGCCGGGACGACGTTTGTTTATAATAGACATCAAGATAAAAACTGTCCTGGTGAATGTTTGACAGCGGTTGGACCAATCAAACAATCCGTTGATATAGAGGTGGGATTATTTCTTATATATATATATATATATATATATAAAATAACATTTAGATGGTCGTGTTTCTTCTGACCTGCTGGTTCGTCCGACTGTCCATTCATCCACAATACTTCCTGGGTTCGCGAGATCTTTTTGAACGTATATATACCTTGTTAATAATCGATGTTAGTTGTTAGTTATTAAGATGTTCAGATAATTAATTAGGAGTTATCGCCCTTTGGCATAGTATAGCGTTATGTATGTGCCCATGTAACCCTGGAGAGGATCACAATGCGATATTTATAAACGTATAATTTAATAATTAATTAGGAGTTATTGCCCTTTGGCACAGTTTAGCGTTATTTATGTACCCATGTAAATGTGAAGAGAGTATGTGTCGTTGTCTGGTAACCTATATTTAGCGTTTAAGAGGGCAAAAATGATTAGTCGCGATTTTACGGGTGTAAATATTGATACTAATTGTAGAGCACTGGAATGGAAGTAGTAGAACTCCCTGGGTCGAGCTGGTCCTCATTACATCAATTTCAGTCTTGGGGGCAGCTCTAGCGTAGACGTCAACAGACGGACAAACGACAGTCATTTTAGAGAAATCAATACTGCTTGTATACTTATCAAAACGATACACATCAGGGAAAATGACATCATCTTGTGATTTTTTTTTCAGATTTTATATTATCACCGGAATCCTGGGATAAAATACCAATATACCATCGTAGATAAACCACCGCCAGGTGGAGCTGTACCTTTGGTTAAAGATGATGATGAGGGTGTCCCTTTAACAAAACTTGATAACGGACAAGTTATTAAACACGGTTTTCCTTTAATAAACTCGATACCAGAAGAAGGAATACCCCTTTCTAAACCTTATAATCCTTCCGCAAACGGTGCACCCATACCTAAGAACGGAATACCCCTCTCTAAACCTTATAATCCCAACGGAGAACCTTTAATAAGAACAAGTGCGGACAATAGATTAATTATCAGGAATCGGGCCAGTAATGGAGAAGTAATTAAAAATTCCTACGATGGACACGGAACGTATCCACGATACATTCCGAATAGATTGGATTCTAAGCTGCCATTAACTGGACATGTTGAACCGAGTGGTGTTTCGGATGATCTGTCTGAAGGGGATTTTGAGAAGAAACACTATATACATACTAATACGTATGATAAACAGTCACAAGCAGTGAGGAGTTCGTATGGCATCCGTTTGATTAACAATACGGTAGATAAGGTTCCATCTATTGGAGGATTTAAGAGATTAGACAATACAATAGATACAATAGGTAGTCATGGTGTTTATACGTGGAGTATAGTCGGTTTTACAGATTGTTCAGTTTCTTGTGGTGGAGGTAAGTTTAGTATCAATCATTGTTTGTTTAAAGCCCCAGTCACACCTTCCTGGTATCTGGCTGCAGCGTCGCTACGGTGATCAAACCGGAGTCAACCGTATGGATCCGTGACGAGACCGTGGTGACTCCGGGGTGATCCGGGGAGAACAGTATTGGACCGTAGGTCGCTACGATACATTTTAAATGTTAGGGTTACAGGGAGAACAGTATTAACTTTTTAAATGTTAGTGTTGGGGGAGATCCTAGATAAACCGTGGCCAATATCGGGAATGTTTGACTAAGGCTTAAAGGAGGAGTCACGAATAGCAACCCAACATGTCACAAATATACTATTTTTGTAAATTTCTTAACCCATTTTATGTAAATTTCTTAACGCATTTATGTAAATTTCTTAACGCATTTATGTAAATTTCTTAACACATTTATGTAAATTTCTTGACCCGTTTATATGAATATGACGGTAACTCTTTATGTTAAAACCTCGCCCAATTATGTGGAAAAAAACCATCAACTTTGGACTAGGGTAATCATAAAGTCTTGTTAAATTTCATAAAGAATGCAGCAAATAATAACCAATAATAGAGTTTCAAACAACACCTAATTCTTTATTGAAACAGATATAAGCGAATATGAAGCTCTTGCAAATTTTACGTGACAAGGAGTAGGGTCACCTGTCCAACCTCGTGGGTTTTCTTTGGTTCCTCCGGTTTCCTCCCACTGCTAAAGACCACTACGCGCAAGCGAATTATTTAAATAAAATTATACCACATGTTAGTCCCGAAATGACCTAGTTTATGTCGAATGGATGTTAAACCCAACCTCTCTCTCTCTCTCTCTCTCTCTCTCTATCTCTCTCTCTCTCTCCCTCTCCCTCTCACTCGCTCTCGCTCTCTCTCTTGCAAATTTGATTAAGAGTTTCACAAAAGTCCTGCAGCACAGACAATTTTAACCAGGTTAAATAAATCCAGAGGAAATTTCTCAGCAAACACCGGGTCCGAATGGATTTTCCACATTTTCAAAAGGGTCACATTTATGGCTGTCAGGGCTACAAATCATTCCCCCATGAAGAATATTCCCATTACTTTTACACATTTCATTTCACGCTTTTATCGATTTGCACTTTAACTCGTTTTAAACCATTTCAGTGCTTAATGGTGATTGTACATTAAAAAAAATGTTTATAAGATTTATTAAATGTGAAAATATATTTAATAAAAAAGGTTCTGATAGGACATAAAGATTATAAAAATGGAATGAATTGGGTTTTAAACCATTTCAGTGCTTAATGGTGATTGTACATTAAAAAAGAAAATGTTTATAAAGATTTATTAATAGGAAAATATATTTAATAAAAAAGTTTATGATAGGACTCCCTCCTTACTCACTGAACCACCGAGTCTGCGAAAATGATAGGACTAATTATTTAATAACTGAGTGTAAAAGACTTAATGACCAAATCTACATACATATCGCCTGCTACTAATTACTGGGTGTACACTGTTTTGGCTGAAAACGAAACTTCAAAGACTTTAATCAGGAAAACCTACAAAAAAAATAACGTTTGAATTTTTAATCTTTAAAAAATATTAAAAAATACAACTTAATTAAGGAGATAATTTTCTCTTAACACTTGTAATAATTGGAGTCATGGCGAGTGGAACGATTTATTTCTCTGGGTTTTGATTACAGTTGTTTTTAAGAGGAATTTGCTATTGCATCAATTTTATCGTGTCAAATTATAGCTTTCCATTTAAGTAAATGTGGTTTAACATCCCGCGTTTCCGAATTAAACGAAACAATGCATTTAGAATGCAACAACGGGAAAAGAAATGAAATGAGGTTTAACGTCCAATTGTTCTGCTCCGACTGGGCTAATGAAGACGGGCTTACTCCATACAGTGTGTTATGAGGAATAATTTGCCTGGACAGCGGCGCTACGGTCTACCCTTATATGGAATTCCAACTGTCAAGAGATCTTTTACGTACACGCCAATGTATACACGGGACCTCGATTTTTCGTCCCATCCGAACGAATAGACAGCTGTCCTTGTATGGCGTATGCCCGTCTTCATTAGCCCAGTTCGGAGCAGAACAGCGGGACATTAAACCCCATTTCATTTCATTTCATTTCTGAGTGACGTTTCGACTAGGATTGTCAAGAAAACAAGAGATTAACAGTTTCACGGCAGTGTCTACAGACATTTCATTTTGACATTGAAATAATATGAGTTAATGGTTTTTATGATTTTAATATATGTGACTTTTGAAATAATCTGAAGTTATTCATGAATTTAACGTATGTCGCCTTTTGAAAAAAGAAGCTAATCCGAATATGTTTTAAAAGTGAAGCAAAATGTCTGGTGACCATGGGGATTCGCATAATTGGCTTAATAGAAATGCTGAGTTGACGAGTTGCGATCACAATATCCTGGCATGTGCAGGCTGTCAAAATTCTTCTATACATGAAACTCTTATTTAAAGACGAACCCTGGGGTAGTGCAGAAATACCTTCTCACTTCACATCTTTGCTCAGAGAAAAATGTAGTCACCCCGTCTGCATTCTTTGAAATGTTTGCATTTTTTGTGATAGTTTATTATTTAATGTCTCGGTACGTCATTTGCATTTTTGGGAAAATATCAAATTTTTCATGGTTTAATCCAATCTAAAATGTACTCAGATTGATCATTGAACATTTTAATAAAGAAACCCAATCTAATGCCAAGACTAGATAATCTCCCTGGCTTTAAATCAATAGGATTACGAAGAGGCGTGGGGCTTGTGTTGACTATATCATATATATCGTCGGCAGTGGATTCCGAATATTTGATTCATCATATATGTTTGTAAATAATTAACGGAATTGAACCATTTTTGAACAGATATTCCTATTAGAGATTTAACTATCACAATATGTTGTAGTTTGTAAATTAATGATGAACAATCCATCAAATTATTGATAATTGTATTAAATATTTGTGTATATTGCAGGTGTATTGTTTGTGTATATTACAGGTCTACAGGAGACTTAAGTTATGTGTATTAATTGTTTGTGTATATTACAGGTCTACAGGAGACTAGAGTTATTTGTATTAAATATTTGTGTATATTACAGGTTGACAGGAGACTAAAGTTATTTGTATTAAATATTTGTGTATATTACTGGTCTACAGAAGACTAACGTTATTTGTATTAATTAATTGTGTATATTACAGGTCGACAGGAGACTAAAGTTATTTGTATTAAATATTTGTGTATATTACAGGTCTACAGAAGACTAACGTTATTTGTATTAATTAATTGTGTATATTACAGGTCTACAGAAGACTAACATTATTTTTATTAATTAATTGTGTATATTACAGGTCTACAGGAGACTAAAGTTATTTGTATAAATCATTTGTGTATATTACAGGTCTACAGGAGACTAGAGTTATTTGTATTAAATATTTGTGTATATTACAGGTCTACAGGAGACTATTAAATGTTTATGTATATTACAGGTCTACAGGAGACTAAAGTTATTTGTATTAAAGGTAAATCACAGGTGGTTGTAACAGATGACAACTGTCCTGCTAAATATAAACCAAGCATACAACAAGTTGTCTGTAACACAAAACCGTGTCCACCAGAGTAAGTATATCTTTATTGGTTATATGTTACTGGGTATTACAGTGGGCTCTACCCGCCCGCCCATACTTTTTCCTTCCTTCCCTCCGTGGCGAATTTAATAATATCTTTATTGGTTTTGTTTTCCCGCACCTAACAATCTTAGATGGGGTATATAAGTGCCATTCGCCCGTCCGTTCATCCGCCCCCCCCCCCCCCCCGTCCGTCTCGGATTTAACATTTTTTTGTGTTTCCATTGAAAGAAATTTGACATAGTGTTCAATGCACAAGGGCGAAGGAATATCGGTTTCGGACTACTGCTGTTTAAATTTGAACGTGGTGTATTATTTCTGCCCTTCCTCTACATGTTTTCTTTTTCCGAAACATCTAATACTATGAAATGAAATGGGGTTTCCGAAGGTCAGAGGGAGATTTTGCACAGAGGGGCCTGCTTTTCGTTAAATTCCAACAGACCTGGTTACGTGTAAGGGACCTCGGCTGTTAGTCCCATCTGAACGACTAAACGTTGTTCGTTGTCAGATCTTCGCCCTGCACCACTGACACGGGACACCACGCTGAAAAATCCCAAGCATCTTTGTGTACCAGCTGATCGAACCTCAATCTCCTGGTTAATTATTTAAAGCACAAAACTGGTGGTGATATACATAGAAAGACTATGAAACTCTATTTGGTTTACCATAAATAAAAGAACTAAAACAAAAAGAACTGAAACTAAAAAAAAACAAAAACAAAAAAAACCAAAAAAAATTTGGTAGAAGAAATTTCAAAGCATTGGTAAGATGGTTTTTATATATGGCGGTAATTATAATATTCGTAGACTTGGTGGAAGCAGTTGGAAATTAGACGAAGTAGAAAATAGATATAAATTACCGTTTAATTACATATACATAATTTATATGTCATTTATATTGACGTTTTACTGCTTTTTGTAGTTTTAAATTATTATTTGCAAGATAAAACACCACAAAAATGCACACATAGGCCATTCACGAAAATACCTTTATAGCGCTGTCAAGGGTCTCATTATTCCTTAATGAAGCAGCACCAATACTTTCCCGTTCATCCACTGGCTTCCAAAGGAACAATCATATATTTCTGAAAAGGTCCATACTGGTTTCCCGACCTAGATAACTCAAGAATCCCAGCACAGCTTCCCAACATGGATTCCTCAACAATCCCAACACAACTTCCCAAACTTTCGCAACAATCGCCACCGCGGCTTGCTAACCTGATGTACCCTTCAATCCCAACCTGGCGTCCTGAACAATGCCACTACGGTTTACTAACCTAGCTTCCTGAACAATCCCAACACGACCCCTGGTGTCCCTAACAATGCCGTCACAGCTGCCAAACTTGGCTTCCTCATCGACCCCACCACGGATTCCTCAACAATCCCACCACGGCTTTCCAACCTAGCTTCTTGCGTCCTTAACAATGCCACCACAGGTGCCCAACCTGACTTCTTCATAATCCCCTTACAAACATAGACCCATTAAGAAGCCTACAAAGTACATGTATGTCATAAAAAAAGCTTTTACTAAGAAGAGAATCTCAACAAGCTCATGATTAGGGATTTCCAAAAGGTTCCTTATCATGGCTCACAAACCAAATGTAGATGTGGAATTATTATTTTTTTTTACAGTTGGTATACAGGTAACTGGTCTTCCTGCAGCGTTACCTGTGATAAAGGATCCCAGTCCAGATTAGTAGAATGTAGAAGACGAATATCCCCAACTCTCGGCATCAGCGTCACAGCTTCACTTTGTTTAGAAAAACCCAAACCACAGAGAGTGAGAAAATGTCAGGATACACCGTGTATTCGATGGAAGATTGGAAACTGGACGAAGGTCAGTTGGAAATGAATAAAAGTTATATGTGAATATAAGATGGAGGCTCAGTAGTCGAGTGGTTAGGGAACTAGGTTTCCGACTAGATGGTACCTGGTTCTTATACCAGCGCAAGCCGAGAAAATGTCGGGATTAATCAAGTCCTCTTCACACATGTCTGGGGGAGCGCGTATAGATGTTCAATTGGGACGAAACATCGAGGTCCTCATTGGTGAAAAATACCTTGACCCACAAAGCACACGTGGCCATAGCAATAAATGAAATCAAATGAAATGGGGTTTAAGTCCTACTGTTCTGCTCCGACATAGCAATAAGACTGACGGTATATCTGTTGCTCTCAAGATGACCGAAATGTTGAGTGGACGAGACATTATGCTAGATGCTATGTCGTCCCTAAATCTAGCTGGTATCTTTGCTGACGGACCTTTGTCCGACGTTGACTTTGGGTAACTCACTTGATTGTATGTTTGGATTGATCTTTTAGTGTACTACGGATTGTGGTCATGGTCAGAGAACGCGAGACGTCACGTGTATAAATGGTGAGGGAATGAACATAACGGAGAAAAACTGTAGTCAACCTAAACCGGAAGTAGAAGAAATATGTGATATGGGATCATGTGTTAAAGGATGGTATCATACGAGGTGGTCCAAACAGGTACAAATTCAATAGATTTAACGTCTCCTTGGGTTTTTACACCCCCTCTGTAGTTTTGATAAAAACTTTCATTTTTAGATTCTGATCTTCATTACCTGATAATCATATTGCATACCCAGTGTGAAACATATATAGCGTCATCACGCCCATGAATTAACCTGCAAAATACATTAAACTACGGTTCTTATTTGTTGTTTGGGTAACGTTATGACAGTTTTACTATCGGGTAGAATGCAGCGCCAGCTTCCTCTTTCTAAGGTCTTCGTATATTTCGAATTACAATCGATCATCAAAGATTGAGCGCCCAAAGGCATAATAGAAGATAAGACTCCTGTTCGAATGAGCATCATCGGTTTATCATCTGCACGTTTGTCCTGGAATTGGATGCTAAACACAATTCTCCCTACGCATGTCCATCTCTAATCGACCTAATGTCACCACAAATCAGCGAAAAAGATGTATAAGGGAAGACAGGGTTCGGGACAGGTCATTAAATCGATGGGGCTGCTACAGAACGCGTTGCTGTTGAAAACAGGAACTGCTAAGTTTGGACTATGTTTGTGATCTCTTAAATGTGGTGACCAGTGACCATATCCTGGCGACTGAACATTTGAGCAAAGTGGTCACAGAAATCCGGACATGCATTGCACTTATGTCTATGCCAACATAAACATTCTGAACATTAGGGGTCAAATTCAAACAAGAATCTTTAAGACTAATGCTTCAATTTACAGAATGTGTCCGTCTTGAGCTGTTTCAGTAGCACACATGTTGGATTCGAATGTGAAAGAAACCAACACGGACGTGATGTCTAGAGAAATTCGGGTCTATGCTCCTCCCCGCCCCTCCATAAATCAAACAGTCCCGTACTCCTATCTTTGACATTTTTGTTTCTAAAGATTGTGGGTGAGGTACCCACCATTCCCATAATCAAATAGTCTCGTATACCCCTCCAAATCCCTCAAAAACCAAACAGTCCGTACGTCTATATTTGACATCGTTGTTTTAGTGTTCTCAAGGGTGTGGTTGAGGACCGAACCACTCCCATAAACAAATAGTCAGTTGGCCTAAGACGTTAAACTCATTCATTTCATTGTTTAACATTGGTTTTTTAGTGTTCTAAAGATTGTGGACGAGGTCATCGGACTAGAGATATTTTCTGTTCGTCGGATGATGGAACTCATCTACCAGACAACCAGTGTTCACCAGCAGAGAAACCTACGACCAGACGAACCTGTAAAAACAAACAACCATGTGGTGGATCCTGGTTCCTTGGTCCTTGGAGTGAGGTAAAGTTGGGTTATTTTATTTGATTGGTCCTTTGGGTGAGGTAAAGTTTGGGTATTTCACTTCATTGGTTATTGAAGTGAGGTAAAGTTCGGGTATTTTATTTCAATGGTCCTTGAAGTGAGGTAAAGTTTGAGCATTTTATTTCACTCCTCCTTGGAGTGAGGTAGAGTTTGGGTGTTTTATGTCATTAGTCCTTGGAGTGAGGTAACGTTTAAGTACTTTGTTTGGTGAGGGTTCAATGCTGGAGGGGGTGTAGAGGGGGTCCTTAAGCCCCGGAACAGAGTGGCGAGACTTCTGAACCAGTCCATCACACCACCACTAGATTATCCACCAAATAACAAACTTGGGTACATTTTATTGTGGATTAAGCGGTGAAAGATTATGTATTGTCCGAAAACATGTTCCTGAAGCAACGACTGTGAGTTTTACAACATCTGGAAGTTGCTAGATTACTTCACAATCCCCGAACAGAAGCGTTGTGACATAGTGACCCCCACGGAAACCTTGACATAGAACGAACCTTGAACTTTGAAACTCGATTATCACAGGTAGATATTTTAGCTTGAAAGCGCAAGACTTGATATTCGCGACGATCTAGGAATCTGAAGGCCTTGATAAGATTTACGTAATTAAAGCGAGATCAAGCCTTCTATTGAAGATGGTCCGAAAAATACAAATGGCGCTCATCGGGTTTCATGCATCATATTATGTAAATGAAATGAAGCTTGGTTTAACATCCTACTATTCTGCTCCGCCTGGGCTAATGAAGACTGGCATACGCCATACAGTGTCCTATGAGGGAAATTATGCCCGGACAGCGGCACTAATTCCTACTCTTATATCGAATTCCAACTGCCAAGGGATCTTTTACGTGCACGCCAATGTATACACGGGGCCTCGGTTTTTCTTCCCATCCGAACGACTGGACAGCTGTCCTTGCCAGGCTCTCCATCAATATTTTATGTGATTATGATTTAAGGACTAGAACATACTATATACGATACCACTTTCAATATTTATATTTGTATTTTAGTGTAATAGCACGTGTGGTTACGGTGTGAG